AAGAGAATAAAAATATTATTATTATTATTATTATTATTATTATTATTTCAAAAAAGAAGAGGTTCTCAATTTGACTGTATGATTTTTGTGACTGTTTTTTTATGTATGTTACGCGATAACTCCGACATTTGTGAACCGATTTTGAAGATTCTTCTTTTTTGTTGGAAAGGGGATACTTCAGTAGTGGTCCTATTTAAATTTCAAGAAAATATTCCACCGCTAAAGGTGGCTAATTAGGGGATGAATGACATTTGATGTCAGTTTTTTAGTGCTCTGTACTGAGATTATATTAATATTGACCAACTTCTGCTGTACCGATTTTTTTCTTTTAATACAATGCAATGATCTTTACATGAAGAAGAGTCGATCAGAATTTTTTTTTAATTAATTATTTTTACTCATTTTTATGGACAACTCACACTTCGTCAAAAAATATACTACGTAAAAATTGTTTTCGCAAGCCTAATGGTTCCTAAGACAGGTTTCCTGTATCTCCTATAGTTTCGGATTTCCCCACACTGTCCCAGTCGCAGAAAACACACTGAATATTATCTTGTATTAGAATTTTTTATCTTCAAACGTTTTTTGACAGAATATTTACATTATTATATTCCGAATACTTTGGATGTAATATGTATAATAAGCTATCCAAGTTCTGAGAACCCGTTTTATTTGTCACTTAAATTAATTACAGTATTATCTGTACCTTCGTCGACGGTAGGGCAGGGTGAACTGTCCATTTTCTTACAAACGAAAAGTCTGGGTTCAATCCCATCTTCGCAAAAAGTGGTACGTAATTCACCAGTATTCACATCCAATATGACGCAGTCCAGGGGCAATGCATCACCTTGTATATTTATTGTTACAAAATGACCTTAAATTAAAGAAAAACAGTAAGTAATTGTTTTTTTAGATAAAATACCCCAAGTCTGATAATTTTAAACAATCTCTGTTGTATGTCGATACGTTTGGTGTTCTGCTAAACGTTGCGAGAAATGGTTTGTCAGTGGCATCGAGTATATAACCAGAAATAGAGACGAAATAAGGGCTATCCATCCCTGACAACTCGCCAGGCAAATGGGCCTTATATAACTTTTAATTATCAACTCTCGTTTGCGCTGAAATCACAAATTAGAAAGCCTAAATAATACAGCGTCAACAACTGACCCGAGTGTACGTCTCCATATATTCAAAAATATTCTGTATTTATTGTAATAAAGACAATATCGGTAACAATGGGGGCTGTTCTATTGGGTGTTGTGGGAAAAACAGCAAAACATCTAATTACAAAACAAACGGAATCACATTTCGTCGGTAATTAAATATGAAATATGTAATTTTGCAATTTCCGTCCATTACAGCAAAGCTCAAGTTAAACTGGTCGTTTTGAAGTGAAACAATTGACGACACCCGTCAATTGTTTCGAATTCGGGCTGGCCAATCGGAGCGCAGTTGTCACAGTAATGATTTGGCAGAATAGTTTTCAAACAGAACACAAAAAAAGAGTTGATATTTAAAAGTGACATAAGGCCGATTTGCCTGATGAGTAGCCAGGGTTGGATGGCCATTATTTCGTCTCTATTTCTGGTTATATACACGATGGACTGAAATAATTAATGAATGCCATCACTGCCATTCCATTGTCACTCCATTGCGACTGAAGTGCTTATTACAATTAGATTTTAGCATAATAATAAATTAATAAATTATTATTATAACTGCAATATAATTTCAGAAGAGTCTCAATGGAATTACAAAGGGTATTTTAAGAAAGTTAACAGAATTGGGGCCCAGATACGTAGTGCATCTTTGGTTTTTTTTTCGTAATCTTAGATACAGAACCAAGACTTTGAGAATCTGAAAATTGAGTTGATTGATCAGTTGAATTCAGATCATACCATCAAGAGTGGTATAATATCCGTTGCCGACTTCGTCACGAATGCCTAGTAAGACGTCTGTAGTATTAGGCGTCTGAGGCATAGCTTTTACAAGATTGTTTATAACTCGCCATTCGCTGTGATCTTTTGGGTAAAATAATTGCGATCCATCATTATCGCAAGCATTCACAGCCTCTTCGAAGGAGTTTCCTTCTTCAGACCATATAAGCTTATAAAAAGCATCGCGTTCTTCAATGTAGGTGTAATCCTTTCTAAAAAAATTAACAGAGAGCGCAGCACTCAGTCCTGAAAAAAAGACGCAATTGTAGTAACTAAAGTGTCTTAGTGACTTGCATCGATCTGTGTTTGAATGTTTGTTTTTTTTTGTTTTGACCAACTGACTCTATCTACGCGATTTTAGAAAGGCTCTCATAGTAAAGTGTTTCGTATGTATGAGTAAAATTGACCCTTAACTTCTACAATGGTTACAAGCCACCGATTCGGTCCCATTTTGATCGAAACAGTCTTTACTGTCGCGGAACTACCGGCGGCTCGGCACACTCAGATGATTGTAAGCCGGATTCATAATGATGGAGTCTACGCATGTTTGAACAACATTTGACCATAAAGAAGTATAAGAAATATTTTATTAAAAAAAAAACAAGACGAGTTGTTTGAATCTGTGCTAAAATTTTGTGCATGCGTTGCGTAGTGCGGTATAAAAACTTTATTTTGTGTTAAAAGTTTCATTTTTGTAAAGCACTGTACCAAATTTCTATTGAATTGATATAAATAGACTTTCTTTAACGCTTTCTATAAATAAATTTCAATGAAAGTAGGAGTATATTTCTTGTAAAAATATGCTTCTAAAAAATCATGACTTTTGACGTTTGTTTTCCGTTTTTACTGCGGTCATTGTAGATAGTTTTTCTACATTACACTTTCTTATGAAACATAACGTCGATATCAATTAAGGCGATGAGGTGCCCAAAATCGCTTAAATGTGGTGTTTTTGTGTAAGTTTTTAGGTGATAACCATAGCACGTGGAACTTTGAAAATAGTACATCCTGTAACACGTATCTTGAAGTATTGCTTGAAGATCCTAGAATATTGCTTATTGTCATAGGTAATACAAAAACTGGATTACAGTGAGACTCTGGTGGTTATTTTTTGACATATTTTTCTCGGGCAAACCAAACTTGCTTACTATCGAATTTGCTGTGGTTATTTAAATGGTACTTATCTTGATCCTGACACTTTATTTGTTTTAAATAAAAGACAAATAACATATTTAGGAGTAAAAAGTAACTTTCGCCTACTTTAATATTTAGCGAATACGAGCTAAATATTTGCTTGCAAATTATGGACAGGCACTTAACAGTATGAAAAAATGTCATACACAAAAAAATACGTAAATAAGTAAATATAATGCACCAATTCGTTGAAATCAAAACAAAATATTTAAAAAATTACAAATTTACCCATTTGGTGAGAATAAAAAATATATATTTTTGGTTGGATTAGAACCAAAAACACAAAGTATTCAAAACAAAAATGAAATTATTGTTTGCGTCTTTGATTATTTAGTAAATATTTAGAAAACTTCTGCTGCGTAGCGTGCGTTCGTGAGATACGTTTCGAGACCTCTGTCTTGACATGGTTTTGACAAATTAATTTATATTGTATTGTAATCGGTTGTCTACCGTCGAGCACGATACTTACGAGATATGTAGTTGGACATAGTTATGCAAACTATAACCAACCCACAAAATGTCACTTTCGAGATAATTAGATTTTTGTAAAAACAGTGTGAAGAAATAAATAGGTAAGTTATTTGAAGCTAGAGATGAGCCGAGTACAAGTTTGCTACTCGGTGTACTCGGCCGAATAACTCGGTTCATGAGAAGAGTACTTGGTTAAAATAAAGCATCACAGCTATAGACGTAATAAAGTAAAATCAACAATATATTTAAAATATTCAAAAGAGATTTATTACTAGAAATTGTAGACAATTGTAACAATTTCTAGCAATTTAGTAATTTAAAAAAAAGTTTACATTCATAATATTTAAAACTTTACAAAGGCAAGTTATGATGTAGGAATATTTACAAGGCTTTCTGCGCGTTCAGGTAATAGTCTGTTCCTTTTTTCTTCATACACATTACCCGCTTCGGCAAATAACTACTCGCTATACACAGTGCTTGCAGGTGCACATAAAAACACTCGTGCTAAAAGTGCCAGTTTTGGATATTTCAAATTCAAATTCAAAATAATCTTTATTTCATAGGTAAGCATTATTACACTTGAAATCGTCACAATATTAAACTCTACCGCTCATTCGTAAGGCAGATTCCAATAAATATAATATTTATAATATTTATATACAATATTTATTTTTTTTATTTGAAACATCAGAGATCGAGACTACCTCCATGAGCTAAACGGGTTACTACCACGGATTTTTGTCATCCAAGTACGCAGAAGTTGTATAATAACCTTTAGTATAAAGTTTTTGTTTCACTATAGTTTTAAACCTCGTGAAAGGCAAATTTTGTATATCAACCGGAATCTTGTTATAGAAGCGTATACATTGCCCCTTAAATGATTTTTTGACTTTGTGAAGACGACTATCAAGAAAAGCTAGTTTATTTCTATTCCTCGTATTAATGTTATGTCTGTCACTATTTTTCATAAATAAATTACTATTCCTTTTAACATAAATTACATTCTCATAAATGTACTGTGAGGCTAGTGTAAGAATGTTAATTTCCTTAAACTTATCTCTCAAAGATACTTTGGGGCCCAGATTGTAAATTGCCCTAACTGCACGTTTCTGCAGGACAAAGATTCTGTTGATATCGGCGGCATTACCCCAAAGCAAATTTTATATTTTATTATTTAATATTTTGTTATATGCTCTGCCCACCATTGGAAAGGACTGTGCTCTCGCGACAATAAACTTTCATTGACACATCGGCCTAATTCTAGAGCAACGGGGGCTTTTAGGATCATCGCGTTCCGGTTATAATGAACCGAGTAACTCGGCCGAGTACTCGGCTCGGCAAATGTTAAACCGATTAATATTCGGTACTCGGTTACTCGGTAAAACTTGTACTCGGCGCATCTCTATTTGAGACAAACGATGTACTGTAGCAGTGAGAACGATATAGGGAAACTATTATATTATATATGCTTTGTTATTTTTTGATTTGATAGCATGTGTGTATTTTAAGTACAACGCCATCTGTTAGCGGCAATCAATATTATGTTAAATCAAGCGGAAGGTCCAGCTACCACACTCTTACCGCATCGGGGCGTATAGCGCCACCTTATTTGAGAAATTATAGTAGGCGCGTTATCACTCAAGGTCATCGACGCAAGGTCGTCGACGCTTGTCAGCGTCTTAAATATTACATCCCTATCTGTAGATTGTCAACTTTTTGCTTTTGTTCCAAGAAGTTGATGTTCATAGGATTTTTAGCTTTATATGACTAGTAATAACAAAACTTTTGGATTCAAATAGGTTTGAAATTATTTTTACCCAATTATAATAATAATTAATTATAATCAATCAAAATTGTATTATCTTAATTAGTACTAACGTTAAGATTACAATTTCAAATGTGTGCGTGTAGCGAGTTTCGATACTAATGTCGCTTGACGCCATTTCCACTCTTTTTTACTTCCGTGGTTAAAAATATTGCAATCTTTATCTAGGGGTCAATATATGGTGGGAATCCAGGGGATGAATTTTTTCGGTTTCGCGCACTTTCCGTTAACCAATTATTAACTTTTTAGTTAGAGTTTGTATGTAAAGACGCTAAGTTTGAAGTCAGTTCCATTTTTTTTTCAGTTGAAAATTCATTTCTAGTTTAGTATGATTATGGATTAGAAATTGTTTTACATTATTTTTAAATGTGTTAAAGTTATTTTCTTCTTGGATTAATATTGGAATTTAATTATAGATTAACATTGATCTGTCTAATGGACTGTTTCTATATAATTCTAATAGGGTTTCTATTAAATTCTAGGGTTGAGGGAAGATCAGGTTATACTGGAATTTTTATTAAATTCAAAATATATTGGTTGCTTACGAACAAACAAGGCTACTTCCATGATGTAAAGAAGAGTGAGAGGGTTAACATGTTTCTTTAATAAAGTCTGATCTAGAACATTCCCCTTGATAGATATTTACAATAAATAATACGGAGATATTTTTGTAAGATAAATAGAAAGCGCATCAGTACTTCTATAGTGCTAGATATTTATATTAAAATGAATACCGAAAAATACACTTACCAGTTATAAATATAATTAGCTTCAAAATCATTGTGTTTGGTTATTTAATTGGATAGTCAACACAAAGTGAATGATAGGAACTCAAGAGAATGCAAATTATATGCTGCTCAACTGCGTACGTCGGGCGCTGGTCGACATCTGATCTGTGTTCAATTTATTATTTATTTATATTAATTTTGAGCGCGCGGTTTGCTGGAGAGGAGAGAGGCACGACCCTATCCCCTCCCCCCTCCACGACGTCATCTCCTACAAATTAGGCTCGAGTTGAAATACCTCGCCTTAACACAATCTCAGGCAAGTTCCTTGCGTACGTATCTTAGGACCATCGCCCATTGACAGATGGGCATGGCAGGGGATCAGGCTTGCCGAAGCATACCGTTGCAACATCGTACTCACGCCCAGTCTCTCTTCAAATCAGAAGTAACGTTGCAAGTTTATTAATTACCAGTTGTATATTTACAAATGGTAGTCTTGCTGAACAAGAAGAAGAATAAAATAATATAAATTACCTTAGAAAGCATGCCAAAGCGTCCCGCAGTTTTGTTTTTGTATTTGCGACCGTTAAAATTGAAATTTCAACAACATTAAGGTATTCATATATAAGCTATTCGTCAGCTAAAAATTCCTTGCCGTGCCGTTCCGTCAGTGGGCTCTGGGCCTTTAATCGGCATATCTTACTTGATCTACATCGTTGTAGTAGACGTCCGTCATGGTGCTGTGTGAGCCCAATCTGTGGGTGCATGCGACAGACGTGTCCAGCCCAGTTCCATTTCAGTTGGTCTTAAAAGAATCTAACTTTCAAATCTGCACTTGAGGTTACTAAACTATATTTTGGTCAACTATGAAATAAAATATACTTTAACTACACACATCTCTATAATGTTCAAAAACCGCGAACTACGACCAGCATAAAGGTAAACTCTTTTGTAGAACAAATTTCTTATCTGTGAAAATGTTATTATAGCTTCCTATTAACATCGAATTCGATATTATTACATTCCAATTTCGAACACCTCTGAAAAACAAAACAATTTGATTTGAGCTCAATTCTAATATCAGACGAAATGAAGTTTTGTTCGAAATGAAATGTCATAGCAAGGCAATTTTAACAATTTCACACGTTACTTGATATCGAACGATATGGTAGTTGGGGCCGATTCTAGTTTGTCTATGAATTAAAAATAAAAACTAGGGTTGTTGACATTCGTGAGAAAAGTTTTTATTTGCCGCCATTTCGCCAGTCGTAACCATTTTCTATATCTATGATCGTAACATGCCTGAACAAATCACAGAGAGCTTCTAATATGTGTGTAGATAAAGCAGTGTATGTAACTGTACATAATTAGGCATTGAAACACTCTTAGAGGTGTTTCATAAACCCACACTCGTATTTTAATGCCTTTCGTTATCTAATAGTCACTTAAACTACTATTAAGTTTAGAACGTAACAATGACTCCTTCTTATATATAATATAGATACTGTACATAATACAGTACACCCTTTAATTATTCCAGATAAGACAAGATACGCAGCCATGTATCTTTGACCTATGGTTATCTATTTTAATATTATTAGGAAGGAGTTATAACAACCTTTTACAGAAGGACTGATTATGAATATCACTAATTACCTACTTTTAATACGAAGTCAGTCGAAGTTTTTGTTGTTCTTATCGACACAGCGATGTCGATGTTTATTTGACCTATGTATGGTTATCAATTTAAATATTAACATGTAGGTCCTTTTTAGTATTTTAATGAAATAAAAATTACTAAGACATTTGTGAGTTGCATTACTTGTTTGCATAGGGCGAAGCCTATTGCAGATTTTTTATATATTTATATCTGCCTAACGAAGTCTACGTTGCGGATTGATTGAGCCTTAAATTAACTTACTTATCTTAAACTTACTTACTAACCTAATCTTAAGACAAATTGTTACTAATTAACGACTAATATTACCATGGATGATGTCTGAAATAAACAATTTTTTTCATGTGTTCAAGGTTTATTACATTTATTTTTTTAATTGCTGAACCAATGATCCAAAAACGGAGATCTGCAACGTCGGCTACGGAATGATGAAGGTGCTGGTTTGAGTCCAACCCAAACGAATAAATTTTTCTTTGTGTTCGACCTTTGTATTAATAATTATAACAAACTACTGGAGTTATTTCACAAAAAGTAATTTAATATGGTGCAGGCATAGAATATAATCATAACTAGAAATAGAGACGAAATGTCATTTGATTTGTTTAAAAATTATTCTGCCAAATCATTACGGTGACAACTGCGCTCCGATTGGCCAGCTCGAATTCGAAACAATTGACGGGTGTCGTTAATTGTTTTATTTCAAATCGACCAGTGCAACTTGAGCTTTGCTATAATGGACGAAAATTTAAAAATTACATATTTAATTACGGATGAAATGTGATTCCGTTTGTTTTGTTATTAGATGTTTTGCTGTTCCCACACCACCGAATGGAACACCCCCCATTATTAGAGATATTATCTTTATTACAATAAATATAGAATATTTTTAGTATGTATATGCATACACACAGGTCAGCTGTTGGCGCTGTACTATTTCAGCTTTCTAATTTGTGATTTCAGCGCAAACGAGAGTTGATATTTAAAAGTGATATAAGGCCTATTTGACTGATGAGTTGCCAGAACGGGTGGATAGCCCTTATTTTGTCTCTTATTTCTCTATTTCTGGTTATATACTCGATGGGTGCAGGTCTACCACTTAACTGAATCGGTTCCTGAGGTAGCTGCGCGATGCGGGAGGAGTGACAGTGTATGAGGAGTGACATAACAGTTATGTCGCGCAGCACGCGGGATAATTTCAACAAGAATTTTCTGACGATATTCAAGAACAAATTGATTGAAAAAATTGCCAAATGGATTTTTATTAATGTTTCACATGACAACAATAGAGTAATTTGTTAGGCACTTTTTTTACCTAAGGAATCGTCATATTCAATATAAGTACTTAACATTTATTTAAAAAAATAAACTTTTGTTTAAAACGTTTGCAACCTTGATGGAACCAACTTATTAATTAAACTGGTCTGTTTGCTTTTATCTTTTCTTTATGCTTTTGTTCGGGTGCATTTGTGATGTGAGAAGTGCAGGCCTTGATGTATGTATTACAACATTGTAGCAGTAGATAACTACACTAGAAACATGTTATTTGTATTTCATAGTTTAGAAGGTTATCACAACTGTTACTAACATAAGTAGTTTACTACAGGTTCTAGATACTTCAATTCGTACAATGTATGAAAATGTGAATGCTAATAATATTATTCTTCTTGTTAACGGATTAAATAAAATTGTAGTTCTCCTTTTAAAGTGGTATTTATTACGGTTGACGGTAATTTCATTATTTTCGTGTAGGTAGCTCATGTACAATGTTAATTTTAACTTCTTCTTTTCATAGTATCGTTGGCATACACCATAATGCTTGTCAATGTAATGAAAGGATTAGGCAACCGGCATAAGGTACTCGACGATTGTTGCCCAGCGTACGCCAGGAATACAGTAAAGGTTATATTTTTGTTCTCCTCTTCTTCTTGCGGACATGACGGAGGTGTAAGGTTCGAAGAGCCGAATTAACCTTTAACGACTGTAGTTACGTTTGGAGAAGGGTTTCACTGAATTTAAATACGTTTTCCAATTAAGACAACATAAAGTACTTATATGACAACAGTACAAAACACTGGAAAGGTGTCAAGCAATCCCAAGGAGCACACTTTATTATTATTAGAGCACTTGGTTCTGAATTGTAAATATACCAGTCCGTGCGTGTTGAGTTCGCGATTCTTTCTCCCGCTTAGGCCGGTCCCCGGTATGAAGCAAAACGAAATCAGCTATTGATAAACAAAGCCGAGCAGTTGGTACTTCCACACCACAACTTACCACTCGTCAACTTTAAATATTAACCATGAATCATGGTTAAGTTCCCTCAAGACTGACCATGCAGGAAGAACTGCCCACGCTTTCGCTCTCACGCATGACTTGACCCAACTGGTAACCCAGCCCACCCGGGTTCCAGACATATCGGATCATGCACCCTCTTTGCTTGACCTTCTGCTCGCGAGTCACCCTACCTACTATACAGTATCAGTCAGCGCCCTCCTGGGAAGTTCTGATCACTGTTTGGTTGGGTGTAAGGTTTCCCAAATGCCTCCAACTAAGCTGAAGGAGGTCACTCGTCGCATTTGGCACTACTCGTCGGCGGATTGGGATGGTATGCGCGACTACTTTGCGTCCATCCCTTGGTTGCAGCACTGCTTTGCGGGAAAGGATGCCTCAGCAGCTGCCGATGCTGTTGTCGATGAGATTGGAACGGCTATGAATTACTACATAACGTCTTCCAGTGTCATCGCCAATCGCAGAGGACGCCCTTGGTTCAATCGCGAATGCATGGACGCTGTCAGTGAGAAACAGGCTGCATATCGTGGTTGGATCAAGGGTCGTGTAACAAAGGATCCCAACCTTGCGTCCCTTAAAGCAGCCTATAACAAAGCAACCAAGTCTTGCAGGAGGGCTTACATAAGAGCGGATGCCCAGCGCGTTTCACGGATTGGCCAGAAGCTGGTAGCCCATCCCACCGGTAGCCGTGCCTACTGGAGCCTGGCCAAAGCCGTGCAGTCCAATTTTTGTCGTTCGTCGCTGCCGCCTTTGAGGTGTCCCAATGGATTTTTGGCCTATGGCCCCGAAGAGAAAGCCAATTTATTGGCCGACCTTTTTGGGGCTAACTCGCGCATTCACGACCAAGATGCGCAACCGCCGTCAATTCCCCACTGCGGAGTCACAATGCCTGATATAGTTATCAGGCAATGTGATGTCCGCAAGGAACTGCAGACTCTTGACGTGCGGAAGGCCTATAGTCCAGATGGGATACCTCCTATCGTCCTTAAAAGGTGTGCGGCGGAGTTGTCTCCCGTACTGACGCGCTTATACCGCCTCTCATACCAATCTGGTAACGTGCCCCTAGCTTGGAGGGAGGCCAACGTGCAACCTATCCCCAAGAAAGGAGATCGGTCTGATCCGACAAACTATCGCCCAATAGCTGTCACTTCAGTGCTCTGCAAAGTGATGGAGCGGATTCTAAATATCCAGATAATC